AAGTCAAAACAGTAGTTAAGGTGAATAGGGTTTGCTCACCATTGCCACCGATGTCGTCACTCATGGATAGGTAATAGGGCATGCCAATAGATTAGACCCCACAGAATGACAACAGACACAAACAGTACACCACAGTGCCAAGAAGGCCAGCCGAGTCGGGGCGATGTGGCTCATTCACTTACCTCACTGTTGTTTGTTTATGTACTCCTTGACACCAACTACCGATCTAACCACCTTCACAAAGCACTGCGTGCTGTTTCGCAATTTCTGCTCCCCTCCAACTCGTCGCTCAGAAATTCCCAGATTCGTAACATTCGAATGCAGACAGTTAATCCTATTTATAGTCCCAAACACTTTCCACAATCCAATGCTCAAATTGCCACACAAGTACGTGCCGTCTTCAATTTAGCTCTACATTGCGTTCATGGCCATGCTTATGCTAATGTGCACGCTTTGCAAGGCATGAGTGATTTTTTTTGTGGCGGTTGACTGTTGCTGTACTCACCCTGCAATCACCACCAATTTACCCTCTCTTCAACTCACCATTGCACACGAAATGACGCTTTAACGCACCTGATGCATGTGAGTCCAACATAGGTGGATGCAAACCGCCAGCTTGTGAAGTACTCGGAGAGGGTGTGGTATGCAAAAGCAAAGAGAAGGAATCGAGAGAGAGAGATACAACCTTATCCTCGTCCTTTACACATGCCTCCCTTGCCCCTAAGTGAAGACCACCACCGTTACTTAGCATTAGGCACTTGTACACGAAAGAGGCTGCGGTCACCTGAGATGAAATGAAACTGGATGCGTCTGGTGAAAGGTTTTCTCCATTTCATTCGTCTTTTGTTAATGCTGAGTGACAGATGGTGGTGTATTCTGCGGCATTTTCACCTCACAGAAACACATGTTGGTTAGATAGAAGGCGCAGAATAGTGGGATCTGTTAGATGGGTGATTTCGTCTTTCATGTTGCATTCTGGAGCAATATAGGTTGCATGAGCAGTAACCGTGCTATTAAGAGACAATTCAACCAACATGTATGCCATCAGCGACACAGTGTGCGCGACATCCCGAATTTGCTGCCTTAACTGCCAAGAGGTGGTGCAATCGTGTAACAATGCAACATCTGAGTTACGCTGATTGCCATCCCGGCAGCAAAATCAAGTCGAATGTGGTGTATGTGATTAATTTCTTTCATCCTTAAGGCATGAATGAGGGAATCTTCATGCCCCATTTCACAATAGATGGTGTGGTTGTGTAAGTTTGGTACCACGAAACGGTGATAATTGATTGCTAGGAGGAAAATAAAGGGGTGTGAAGGGCAGGGATGAGGGCGAGTGGGCAGTTTCCTCCTCTTACCGCCCTATCATCTAAATTAAGTCAAACAGATTGTCACTTTCTTCTCATCCGCTCACAAGTATTCATGTGTAACCAAAAAAAGAAACACCTCAGATGTCACCATCATTTGACCTTCAACAAATAAAAAAGAGTTCCGCAATGAACTACTGCGTCAATAGCTCACCACACGCAATCATTTGCGAAGCACACACTGCTCGCTGGGGATGAAGAGGAGCGGTTGTTGGAGGTGTGAGAGGTATGGTGAGTGAATGGTTCAGCGATGACCACAAACGATACGTACGTTCACCTGACTAGCCTTGGAATGCACACAAGCCACCTCCCATCAGTAGTGAGTCAGTCAGTCTGCCTATTCGTCTCTCTGTCTGTCTGCCTGTCTGCCTGTCTATCAGCCAGACATTCTGCGAACAATTCATCCTCGGAAAAACATCCACATCGACCCCGTGAATCAGTGAAACACTAAAGAAGACTGACTGTGGAAAACACATTGTAGTATTTCCACAACTCAACACATTAGGTGAGTGCAGAACACGACATGCAGGAGGTGAGAGAAGTATCAAAAGTCTCCCTGTGTATGTGAGCATGGCAAACCGTTTGTGTGACGCCTAACAGACGAGACGAAGCGAAAGCAAACGAAAGGAAATGTAACAAAACCCACGACATTTTACTCAAGATTGTTTCCTTATGAAGCAGGAACTTCTACGAAGAACACTTTGCTGTAGTCTGAATACAGTCTTGTGGGATTTTCAAGTAAATTGCGAATTTGTAAACCCAGTGGAACCGGATGGCTGTCGCGAGGCCTGATTGTCTTGGTCAAGGTTGACCACTGGTGTTCCATTTATTCTCTCTCTCTCTCTCCTCCCATAAACATAGGGTAAGGAGGGAGTGTGATATTCATGCTTAAAAGACTGATGGGAGTTGAATGGTGCAATCTCAGGCTGTGCTTTCACAATTCACTCGTCCAGCATGTAAATACCGGTCGACAAAGGTGGTGGAAATGTTGGCAAAATTAATGGTACAATGACCACTCATGATAAGTCTGCACCTGAAAGGAGGCGGTCAAGTGGAGTATGATTTCCATGCGAAGACAGTGAAAGAAGTTGCACCGGGCAGAGGATGTGACGAATTGCAGTACTAGAAATATCTCCCAAGGAAATAATGTCCATATCCATGGGAAACTCGCAAGGTGCGCAGATTCAGCGCAGATTTCCACCACACCAAAATAATTGCAGCACATTTCTTGTGTCGAATTATGAGACAGAGAATCCAGTGCAGTTGGCTGCGACCCCAAATGACACCTCGCATTTTGGCATGCAAGAGGTCACACTTTCGTGCCCACTTATCAAACATTCCAGACAGACTCAGAAATCAGCCTCCCATTTATCACAGTAACGTTGAGGTCAATCAAAGTGCTGTGGATGCTTGAGAATAGCATCACGCCATGCCCCTCACATTCTACCCTCATTCAAGTGTGAACACGCTGTAACACCAGCCTACTCATTCCGGTCGGCAACAGAGACATTGGCACGGAAATTTTGGTTGACAAGTTAACAGGATCCATGCTCACACACACACTACCATCAGTCCACTGCAGACACTGACGAGGCGAAAAGAAACAAATCAAAGTACATGGCAACGCATGCGACAAAGCAAAAGTTGTCCTGATTCGCAAAACTTTTGTGCCCTTACTCACATACATATTCACGATTGCGTGCACAATCCCCTCCATTTCATCAGAAGCGATGGCTTAGAAATGTCGCAAAGAGAGCTGCCAAGTTTTGAACAAACCAAACAACATGGCTGATTGGCCCTACAGATAAGATGGCCAGACAGGCACTCAGGAAACAATCCAACATTGACATGTCTACGCAACAGTCGAAAGAGCACGGAGATGCAAACCACTGACAGGCATTTCAACTTACTCGCCGTCGCCTCTTCATGCTTGTGGCTGAGACACGTTACCTCACCTCCCACAGCATTCCCTTCTCACACGATGTAGGTTTAATTCGACTGTCGCACCCCAATTCATGCGTAACATTGACAGTAACAGTGACAGGTTCGAGGTCCTCCATCCCTCGCTGCCAAACTGTTTCACTGCTACCCACATCAGAATTACACTATTTCTCGGTGGTGAGTTTTGTGCTACCGCATGCTGCACCTTCTCCAAATGCTGCATATGGAATGTGACGAGAGGCTTCTACAACACTGCAACCGAGTTAAAGGCGATTCTTCCCATCCATCAAAGTTGGATGGAGAGGC